GATATCCCGAAGACGACCACGTCGGCGAAATCAACCACGAAGGTAAGGATATCCCAAAAGAAACCCCGAAAAGCGAGGAAAGATAGGCTTGACAGTGGAAAAGAGTCGCCATCTTATGCCAAAGTTGCCAAAAGAAGACATCGGGACGATCTCTGTTATGCAGTTTACGATGCCGGTAATCCGACAGGCTAAATTCCAATAGACCAACAGAGTAAGGTAGAAGATCTGGTGAACAATAAGATAGTGGACCACTCAATCGCTTCAAAGGGCCAACAACCAATAGAGAGCGTGAGCTGCGAGTTCAGAATGGGCGTGATGTTGATGAGGTTGGCATCTCACCAATGTGTGAGCACCCTAAAGAACTTGGTGGAAAGTATTCCTCCTGCCAAGATCGTGGCAACATATACCTTGCATCTGTTTACCAGCCTTTCGATTCTCCGACACTACCACCAACGTCGGAGCTGATGAAACTGGTCGAAGAGGCACAAAGGCAAAATAAGAAAATTGTAATAGGTTGTGATGCCAACTCCCACCATGTAGCTTGGGGTAGTACAAACACCAATCGCAGGGGACAAGCCCTTATGGATTTCCTTAATACTAAAGACTTGATCACATCGAACTTTTGAACATAAGATTCAAAATACTACGGCCGCCACCAAAGCCGATAAAGTTTCGGAATAAGTCTAAAACTAATTGGACAATGTTCGGTTCCTTACTAAAGAACCGTTTATGTCAGAACTCTTTTCAATGTCGAAATAAAGAGGACGTAGACGCCAAAGTAGAAATGCTCACAAGTGCCTTGGTTGAATCGTTCGAGGATAGCTGCTCTCTGCGAGAGCGGAGATCTGCCCAGGAGAAACCCTGGGTAACCGGGGAGATCCGGAACCTTGGTAAGACCCTTCGCAAACTATTTAACCGGGCACGGCGTAAAAAGACCGCAGTATACTGGGATGAGTATCGTAGTAAACTTGGTGAATATAAGAAAATTGTTCGTAAAGCCAAACGAGACTCCTGGAAACTTTTCTGTGAACAGGTAGACAGCGTAAATGACGTATCGAAGATAAAAAAATTCCTATCTAAAACTCATGTCCAACCACAATCTATGGTCGATGATACGGGCAGGAGGTTGGAGGATATGGAGGAAACAATGAAACTCCTAATGGACTCTCATTTTCCACCCGGTATATCGAATAACATAGATGAACCGATATTGAAGGAAGGGGAGGCTAACACGGAAATTGTAATTACATCTGATATGGTTTAAGGGGGCAATCAAGAGCTTCGCTCCCTATAAAGCTGCAGGGCCGGATGGCATTTTCCCGGCACTCTTACAGATGGAGGCGGGACTGGTTTCCGTACATCTGTCTCAGATATTCACTGCATGCTTGAAATTCACATATACCCCCATTAAATGGCAGGATGCAAGGGTAATATTTATACCTAAACCAGGGAAACCTAGCTATTCGACACCTAAGTCTTATCGACCGATAAGTCTTACGTCCTTCCTACTTAAAACCTTGGAACGGATAGTTGATAGTATGGTAAAAAGCAGTATACCCGACAAAGACCTAAAATTTAAGCAGCATGCTTATGTAAAGGGACGATCGGTGGAAACCGCTTTAAACGAAGTTGTCCACTACATAAGTTCATCCTTTGATAGCAAACTGTATACACTGGCGGTATGCATTGACATCGAAGGCGCCTTCAATAACGTGCACACTGAAACTCTTATCCAATCCCTAGACCAGTTTTATGTTGACCGGGTGCTCCGTAACTGGATCAACCACATGCTAAGGAACAGATGGATAAACTGCGAGATGTACGATATAACTATCAGGAAAAAGGTATTTCGCGGTATACCACAGGGTGGCATTTTGTCACCTTTACTCTGGGTTACCACGATTAATAGCCTCCTAAGGACCCTAACCGAGAAAGGACCTAGACCTGTCTGCTATGCAGACGATGTCGTAATACTTTTAAAGGGAAAGGATCCAAATTACTTGTGTAGAAGAGCTGAGGTGGCTCTGAATACAGCCTTGAGCTGGGCTCAACCGAGAGGCCTAAATGTTAACCCGGCAAAAACGGAAATCTGTCTTTTCACAAGAAAGACAAAAATTTCTATGTATACTGAACCTTGCTTCCTGGGCAATAAGATACCAGTGACAGACAAAGTTAAGTACTTAGGTGTAATCCTCGACCGGAAATTAAAATGGAGACACCACATAGAGGATAGGATCAACAAGGCACATCGGTGCTGGGCGATATGTAGGAGAAATATAGGCATAGTCCTACTATGACAAATTGGCTTTATAAAAGTGTAATTAGACCAATTCTAGCTTATGCTTCAATAATCTGGTGGACTGCTTTAGACAAAAAGTCCAATATCAAACTACTACAGGGAGTTCAGCGTACATGCTGCTTGGGTATAAGTGGTGCCATGTGTACTACTTCAACCAAAGCTCTGGAAACGTTGCTAGATATTCCACCCTTTGAAACATATTTAAGATATGAGGCGGGGCTTACAGCCGAACGGCTCTTTACTTTAGGCGAACTGGCCAGAAGCGTTTATAGGACACGTCATCAATGTATAATGGACACATTGGAAGGTTATACACAATCATCGGACGTGCCTGATCGTATACCAGACACAGAATATGTCGGAAACTTTGAAACGCTGATCCCAGATAGAATGTCTTGGTCAAGCGGAACATTAGAGCAAATACCATTAGGAATCCGTTGTTACACGGATGGCTCTAAATTGGGGGACAAAGTGGGGCTGGGTTTCTATATTGAAGACCCAGAAACAGAAATATACCACCGTTTACCAAATCATAACACAAGCGCCCACAGCGCTTAATATATTTACCGACAGCCAGAAAGCAATTAGGGCGATATCAGGCGATAAAACTAAATCTAAGACCGTATTGGATTGTAAGAAAGCTTTAACTGAATATTCTCCCAGAGGTAAGGTTCACATCATATGGGTACCAGCCCACTCGGGAGTAGTCGGTAACGAAAGGGCGAATGTAATAGCTTTAAAGGTAAGGGAGCTCGAGGCAGTTAACCTGACAAACGCAAAACCATTCGACGCAACAAAAGCTGAACTAAAAATATGGGTGAGAGAATCCCATAAGGCCTCTTGGAATAATGAAACAGTGGGTAGAACCACAAAGATCCTATGGGGTGACCCTGATGAGAGCAAGACGAAAAATCTCCTCAAAATGTGCAAGTCTGAAGTTAGTATGATGGTACGTATTCTGAGTGGACACACAGGACTACGAGCACATCTATGCGAAATTGGATGTGCGGATTCAAACGAATGTAGAGAATGTGGAAAGGACAGTGAAACTCTGGAGCACTTTCTTTGCCACTGCCAGGCATTCGTCGAAGTTAGATCCAAGTATCTTGGAAGTGATGTTATTCCGGAAATAACATTCCTGACTAACACTGATTGGAAGATTCTTAGGAATTACGTTCAGGAAACTGAGTTTCTGAACACTGAAAAAGAATTATTTCAGTTTTTTTTTCATGATAAGGAGCGCACAACAGGCCCGAAAGTGGCCTAGGTGTATTTCTTCGGATTTGATGTAGTATATATCTTCCTATCGACCTACCTACCTACCTACCTCTTGAAAATTGCGACCTGTACTTTGATAACAACGTTTTTTTTTCATGATAAGGAGCGCACAACAGGCCCGATAGTGGCCTAGGTGTATTTCTTCGGATTTGATGTAGTATATATCTTCCTATCGACCTACCTACCTACCTACCTCTTGAAAATTGCGACCTGTACTTTGATAACAACATTTACATGGACACACGGACGGTCGGACGGACGGACATCGTTAAATCGACTTAGAAAGAGATTCTGAGTCGATCGGTATACTTTAAGGTGGGTATAGTACTAATATTTTAATGCGTTACAAACATCAGCACAAACGCATAATCCCCTTCCCACTATAGTGGTGTAGGGTATACAAATTCATGTTAAGAATGTTAACTGAACGAACGTTTAAGTTGTAGAATAAGGGTATTAATATGTATTACTTTTTCTTGACCTAATCAAAATTAGTTCTACATATGCATAAAGAAATTACTAAATAGTAGTACCCTATCTACGGAAACAAAATTGATGTCGAGTTATATAAAAAATAGATTGTCAAATGGGTTTAATAAAAAGAAGCTTGATTGTAAAGGGCAAAGAATATAAAGAAATTGGGGCTTGTCAGTTGGTACGTAAAGGAGTTGTCATTCGGTACCTAACTCTAAGTATGTATTGGTAGAATTTTTGTATTAGTATTGGAGCTCCAACCACTTTCACCACACTTTTCAAACATACATACTTGCATAAAATCGTACATAAAAATTTTAGAAAAAATAAATAACATTTAAATTTTTACATTCGCAGATTTTTTAAGTTATTTTGCCCACATCTAATCAGTAAACATTTAATAAATATATTTTTCGGACTTAAAATCTCTTTTTTAGCAAAAAAATAAGTTTATTTTAAATAATTTTTTCATTTTCAATACCAAAATATACAACTTTGTTTTGTCAATTTTAATTTCAACACACAAAAATTAATTGTCAAAAAAATTAAAAAAATATTTTTTTAGTTTGTGAAAAATAAAAATATTTCGAATTGTTAAATGCGATAAAATTGTGTAAAAAATTAAAAAATAGTTATGTGTTTGTGAAAAAACGTCGTTCAAGTCCTATTATCCCGGTATTTTCGCGAAAAAGTTTTGAAGTATTGTGAGAGAATTGAGTTCTCACAAGTGTGTTGAATTTACACAGAACTCGTCTGTGAAGAGAATAAAATGTTATTGTTGTAAAACAATGTCATAGTCCAACTTCTTATTATTCTTTGGTAAAGGGTATCAAAGATTTGTCATAGCCAAATATATGTAGCATTCTAACAAGTTTATTTTCAATTTACTTGAAAGGATAAAATTTTTGTTTTTTACAAGACAATTTAGAAATTATGTTTGTATACAAACCTGGAATAATTTGTCCTTAATACACGTTCCGCCCATGTTTGAGCTCTTGGGATATCTCTTGGTACTCCAACTTGTTTTTTATCTAAGTAATCAATAACATCATCATAATAATTTGTTCTATAATTATACATGTATTTGTATTGGAGGAATTTAGGCCTAAAATATATTTTTTATTTTTGTTGAACTGTATTTTAATTTTTATTTTTACTTACCTAACCCAATGTCTATACAACTGAACAGGTTTTCTATAACCATCATCCTCTGGAGGCGGTGGCGGCGGAGCCAAATCATCTTCGACATTTTCTTTGTTTGTCTGATCGGATGCAACACCATCTGTTTGACTAATTAATGTTTCTTGTTGGGATGTTTCCTGAGAATCATTTGTTTCGGTCGTCTCATCGATTGCCCATGGATCTTCTTCATCACCCATATCTGGAAAGTTATGTAAAAATTAATGTTTTACTTTTATTTTGACTGTCTAAAAATTAAATAAATTAAAATGTGTTAGATAATAATGTTTTATTAACTATTGTAATGTTTAAATGTGGGAATTTTTTTTATAATTTATTATTATTATTTTAATCTTAGACCGGCAACCAGATGCCTATGGTCTCCAATGCGCCAATTTCCGAAGAGCGCAAAGTCCCTATTTAATAAGGAGATGAGTCTTTGTAAAGGTTTAACAAAGTCTGGTTTTATTTGTATAATTTCGGGGTTTATCTATCTATATCAGTGCTGCCCATACACATACTGTTACACATCAATTTGTATTGGTAAAGCAGCAGAGAACAAAATGTAACCCAAAATAAAACTATACTAATAAAATGACTGCGAACTAAAAAGTATATTCTAACTGTCAAATAGATATTATGGATTTTGACAGAAAGCGTACATTAAAGTTCATATATAAAAAACTATCAGCTGTGCTCTCTCATTCATCTACATAAATTCGGCTTTCTAAAAATTTTGTTGTTGTATTTCTGTGTGGATTTTAAAAAAAAGTTGCGTACAGATCTTACTTCGACAAATGCTGATCAGCAACTGAGTTGATTTTGTTTTGCAAGTTGAGAGATAATCAACTAATACATGCTCAAATAAGAAAATACACAAGTAAGCTTATAGCGTAGGTGAGTCAACGCAACGTCACCAGAAATTTCTTGCCCTATCTCGCGTGATAGGAATCGCGATTTTGGGCAACATTGATCTAAATATATAAATATATAAAAATTAATGTGTGTTTATTTGTTTGTGGATTTGTTTGTTTGTTTGAAGTCTATAGACGGCTAAACGGCTGGACCGATTTTCTTGAAATTTGTGAAGTAGGCGAGTTGCCACGCCTACTTATTTAATAGCTATTAAAAGTCATATATCTTGGAAACTGGTAAAATTAGAGTTTTCATAACAATATTTTTTACCAAAATGGGCGGAATGACTATAGTGGGCGTGGCACCTTCCATATTAAGAAAATATTAAATCAGTGGGCGGACTAGCAGCAGGGGCGTGGCACCTCCTTAATTGAATACAAAAATTCGTTTATCTTGGAAACTATTAGAGTTAAAAGCTTCCAATTTTGCAAGAAGAACTTTAGCATCCATGGAAATATTTTGGGTAATAAATAGGCGGACTATCAATGGGGGGAGCGGCACCTCCCATATGAATTAAATACAAAAAAATATTTTATATAAGAAACTAATAGAACTAGATTCCTAAAATTTTGCCAAAAGGACTTTCATATTCATCTGAACATTTTGGGGGAAAAAAGCGGACTTTGATCAGGGGGTGGCTTGGAACCCCCATATGAATTATATAGACAAATTTGTATATCTGAGATACTGTAGAAGCTAGAATCTTCAAATTTTACACGAAGAACTTTGACATTCATGCAAACATTTAAAGAAAAATTGGCGGACTTTCAATAGGGGGATTGGCCCCTCACATATTAATTAAATTCGGAAAAATTGGCGAACTTGCAATAATTTGAGTGGCATTTCTCATGTGTAAGTGGGTTTTTTGCTTTTAGTGTAGCAAAGCACACTGGGTATAGCTAGTATACTATATTTTAGTATCCCTTCTCTTATTCTAATTAATAATCTATCTTAGTCTAATTATAATTCTATTTTCCTATTGGCTATCACATTTGAGTGATATTTAGTACATGTGAGTGTTTTGTGTGTAACATATGTGCAACATGACACATTGCACTCAAATGCACTTTACATTTTTTATGTTATTACTACCTCCGTGTACCCGGCGTTGCCCGGGTTTCTTCGAAAAGTAAAGAGAATATTTTTCTGTAATGGCTTTTTTTGAAATAGATATCAAAATTTAGCTTATAACGATAAAATAGTTATTATATTTTTCTGCCTTTTTTAATCCTTAATGTCAGTTTCTGGACCAAAAAGTCCCTTAAAAATGTAGAAATTGTAAATGAGCATAAATTAGAAAATTTTTAATAATTTGTAGAAAAATTTAAGAAACTTTTTTTGAGAAATTATGCTGAAATCAGCATTTTCAATCACTGGTAGGGAACTAAGGACACTTTCAAATCATTTGTTTTATTTTTTCCATGTGCAGTAGATTTAAAGAACTGTTCAATTTAAATTGGGTCACACCGTACTTTGAATTGTAGTGCTGGTGTCTTTGGGGACATTTTTTAATTTCAAAAATACGTACCATTAACCGTATAAAATTTCAAGCGATTTTTAAAAATAAATTTAAATTTAAAATAATTTTAAATTTAAAAATAAATTTAAATTTTATATTTTTGATATAAAACTCGATTTGTATGGAAAATATGAATGATTACGGATCTTTAAGGAGCGCACAACAGGCCCGATAGTCCTCCTATCAACCTAACCTAACGGATTTGATGTAGTATACATCCTCCTATCAACCTAACCTAACGGATCTTTTTTGTTTTCTCGAATTGAGAATTATATAAATAAAAATTTTAAAGGGAGATATGAATGATTTTCTAGATGGTTTTTGTTCAGTAGTTTTTATTCTGCATACCAAAGTGGCACGTAGGTGGAAAATATTAGCGATATACGGATCTAGAACAATATAACATTGATAAAAAATTTCCATATGCTATTTTTTGATCGTAGTAAACTACATCTGATTCTGTTTTAAAATAGTTTTTTCGTGGATATACAGCGGATTACAGGTTTTGAAATAATAATAGTTTTCCGGTGGAAAATATAAGTGATGGGATATACGAATCTACAACCGATTTTACGCTTTAATTGAAAATCGATTTTGATAATAAATTAAATTGATTACAGTTTTTTACCTAGTCGTAAAGTAAGTTAAGGGCCTACAAACGTTTTAGAGTTTTCAAATAAAAATTAATGTTTGATTAAAATTTTAACTACCTTAATAATAATTCTCATATACTATAAGAAGTATATATCATGAGCATTGTAATTGTAACAAAAAATTAACGGAAAAAGGTCATTGCATTTCATTAAGATCACAACAGGCCCGAAATTAGTGGTACAGGTGTATTTATTCGGATTTGATGTATTAAACATTCTCTTCCTCAAACATCTATCTAAACTTCCACGATAGATCTATTATCATGCAAAATTTCATGAAGCATAAAATCCAGATCAAAAAGTTCATTCCAAAAATTCACTGTCTGTTGCCAAATTTCTTGAAAATTGGTTCATGTTTTTTTATATTTAGCATAGAAATTTGGTGTATTAACTGTTATTTTAAAAGTGAACATAAAAATGTGCGTAGCATCAAATCAATGTCATATAGAGTAATTTTTAACTTCTGAGGTCAGACCTATTAATATGGCGGATTTTATGTATATCGGTTTTGTAATTATGTAGTGAAAGAGTAATAAAAGAGTCTCATATATATTTATTATTATATATTATACGTTTTGAAAATGTAATGTGTCCTACTGTTCATTCCACAACATTCATTATAACAGATTTCATGAAAATCGGATTAGTACTTTTTTGTAAGTAAATTGGTAAATTTGGTATAATAATTGTTTTACAAAAAGTTGGCGTAAAAAGGGGCATGGCGTCCGATCCAGATCTTATATAGTTTATAGTTCCTCCTGAGGTCAGACCTATCGGCATACCAAATTTCACGTAAAACGGTTCAGTAGTTTTCTGTAAGTCTTGAATGAAAATTTTGTATAAACAATTATATAGAATAAAGTGAGCATAACAGGAATCGTGACGTCCAATCATGATTTTATATAGCCTATTGTTCCACTTAGAATAGAACTATTAGTGTTCTAAATTTTATGTAAATCGGTTCAGTAGTTTGGCCGTGAAAGCGTAACAAACAGACAGAAAGAGATTTCATATAATTGTAGGATAGGATATAGGTAAGGATAGTTTTATAAAAGTGAGCGTATAAAGGAGCGTGGCATCAGTTCAAGATCTTATATATATCCTGTAGTCCTTTTCGAGCTTATACCTATCGGTATGCGAAATTTCATGTTTAGTAGTTTTTGCATATTGTGATTGCAAAATTGGTGTTTGTTTGAAGTCTATAGACGGCTAAACGGCTGGACCGATTTTCTTGAAATTTTTTCAAGTAGGCGAGTTGCCACGCCTACTTATTTAATAGCTATTAAAAGTCATATATCTAGGAAACTGGTACAATTAGAGTTTTCATAACAATATTTTTTACCAAAATGGGCGGAATGACTATAGTGGGCGTGGCACCTTCCATATTAAGAAAATATTAAATCAGTGGGCGGACTAGCAGCAGGGGCGTGGCACCTCCTTAATTGAATACAAAAATTCGTTTATCTTGGAAACTATTAGAGTTAAAAGCTTCCAATTTTGCAAGAAGAACTTTAGCATCCATGGAAATATTTTGGGTAATAAATAGGCGGACTATCAATGGGGGGAGCGGCACCTCCCATATGAATTAAATACAAAAAAATATTTTATCTAAGAAACTAATAGAACTAGATTCCTAAAATTTTGCCAAAAGGACTTTCATATTCATCTGAACATTTTGGGGGAAAAAAGCGGACTTTGATCAGGGGGTGTCTTGGAACCCCCATATGAATTATATAGACAAATTTGTATATCTGAGATACTGTAGAAGCTAGAATCTTCAAATTTTACACGAAGAACTTTGACATTCATGCGAACATTTAAAGAAAAATTTGCGGACTTTCAATAGGGGGATTGGCCCCTCACATATTAATTAATTAATTAATTAGTCTAATTATAATTCTATTTTCCTATTGGCTATCACATTTGAGTGATATTTAGTACATGTGAGTGTTTTGTGTGTAACATATGTGCAACATGACACATTGCACTCAAATGCACTTTACATTTTTTATATTATTACTACCTCCGTTTACCCGGCGTTGCCCGGAAAAGTAAAGAGAATATTTTTCTGTAATGGCTTTTTTTGAAATAGATATCAAAATTTAGCTTATAACG